CATTACTGCATCAGAATTCATCAGTACTCAGTACTACATCAGTACTCAGTAATACATTACTGCATCAGTACTCAGTACTACATCAGTACTCAGTACTACATCATTACATCAGTACTCATTACTACATTACTACATCAGTACTCATTACTACATCAGTACTCAGTACTACATTACTACATCAGTACTCAGTACTACATTACATTACATCAGTACTCAGTACTACATCAGTACTCAGTACTACATTACTGCATCAGTACTCAGTACTACATTACATTACATCAGTACTCAGTACTACATTACTGCATCAGTACTCAGTACTACATTACTATATCAGTACTCAGTACTACATCATTACGTCAGTACTCATTATTACATCAGTACATCAGTACTCGGTACTCATTACTACATTATTACATAGTTTGTCCTGAGACGATGACTTTGTGACGTCAGCTGTTAGCTCCTGGTGCTACGCTGCTCCTGGTGCTACGCTGCTCCTGGTGCTACGCTGCTTCTGGTGACCCTCAGACTCTGAGCCCAACAGAACCGAGTGGGTCGGTGTCCTGTAGTTCTGGTCTGTGGCTGCAGAGGACGCTGCTGCTCAGCAGGAGTTACATAGTGCAGCTTTAGATGTAGCTTCACCTTTATTAATCTAACACTTTTCAAACTTTGATGTTTTCATACTTTTGTACTTTTGGTTAAGCTACAGTCTGAATACAGTACTTCTATGTGTAACAGAGTATTTCTTCACTGTGGTATTAGTATTTTTACTTCAGTAAAACATCAGAGTACTTCTTCTACCAGCGTCAGTAGTCGAGTGTCTTCAGTTTCCAACACATGAACTGTTTAATCCTTTAAAGTAAAGACACTCAGTCTGATCTGAACTGGAAGTGTTTTTATTAAAAATCATTTTGGTTGAATTTTGGCCTCGTAGAAAAATTAAAGTACAAAATGAGGTAAAAACAGTTTCAGTGACACAGTTAAAACATTCAGTTTAACAACTTTAAACTGGAATCAGGTGATTTAATTACATTCAACAGATTTTAACTAGTTTACAGCAGCTGGAGGTTTAACAGATGTTTGTTTTCATTCAGCTGCTTCTAACTTATTTTGGTTCATTTTACAACTGTTGTCTTTAAATGTTTTACAGTCACATCATCTGTATGTAAAAGGCAGCGTGGTGCGTTCATGAACACTCCAATCATCAAAAGGCTCGGTGTCCAATTTGGAAATTAGCTGAAGATTAAACATTCATATCTTTAAACAACTAAATTAAGAGTTTTGGTCAGCAGTGATTTAAAGTCACGGCTCAGTTTGACCTTTGACCCTAGAACAGACAGGTGCTATAGACGGTGACCTTGTGGCTGATCTCCTGCAGCAGCTCCTTCACGGCGGCCTCCAGCTCCACCAGCAGCTCCGCCTTCACCTCCAGAGTTCGCTGGTTGTCCTTGTACGACTTCTCCAGATCTGACAAACAGGAAACAGGCGGTTCAACAAAACTGTTCCCACTCTGAACGCAGCGTATGTCAATGAGCTCATTAACATGTCAGTTAACATGTCAGTTGATGAGCAGCGAGTGTTGTCAGGAGACGTAAATGAAAACTCTCAGCAGCCTGATGCCGGTTTGTTTTATGTTGTGATACTGAGGGTGGAGGTGTGATGTCAGTGTGATGTCAGTGTGATGTCACCTTTGAGCAGCTGCAGCTTGTCGCTCGCCTGCAACAACAGCTCTTTGGCTTTCTGCTGCAGTGACTCCGCCCTCTTCTTGGCATCAGCGACGCCACCTGCCTTCTGACCAATCAGCTGCCCCACTGTGGCGTACTTGTCCTTCAGGTCTGAGTCCAGGTCCTGAACACACACACACACACACACAGATTTGGTGTGAACATAAAGTGAAGAAATGAACAGTGATGTAAAGAAGGGGGTGTGGTCTCACCTTCTTGACTTCCTCAGCGATCTGTCTGATGCTTGCTGCATTCTGATTGGCCCGTTCAGTGCTCAGAGTGACATTCACAGCTTTGTCTTTCAGCAGCGTCACGTCCTGCTCCAGCCTCTGCAGCCTCTGGGTGGCGTTGTTCAGCTTCAACTCTGCGTCTGCAGTCTCTGACTGCACCTGAACGCAACACAGACAGACAACACTCAGCGCCAAGTTTGAGATGTGAGGTCAGTAAATGTCACATGATGTCAGCGACACTGACGGATGACAGCAGGCTGTTGGTGCTCCTGATGTCGGTGGCGGCCTGCTGGATGGCGCTGCTGGCGGCCGTCTGAGCTCTCTGAGCTTCTTCCAGAGCTCGCTTCACTGTCTGCGCAGAGTCCTTCACATCAGCAGCCTCCTCGCTGACAAACAGGAAAGGATTATTACCACAGGTAAAACGAGGTGGATGGAAGTTGGAGGGTTTGGATGTTACAGGACGGACAGACTCACCTGGCGCGGCGGGCCTGGTCCAGCAGGTTCTCGGCTCTCTGGATGTCCTCGGCGCTCTGCAGCAGGATGTTCTCCACGTGTCCCAGTTCTCCAACCTTCTGCCGGATTTCCTCAGTCAGGTTCTGCAGCTGAGCCGGCGTCGTCGGCATCTGCATGGCCAGAACCTCGTTAGCCACCAACTCAATGCTCTCCAGGTCCGCGGCGTCCTCTGAAACAACGAGCAGCTGTTAGTGTCTCACCTGTTGATCACCTGACTCTGACCAGTTTCAGACAGTTGGTAGATCATGTCAGACCAGAGCTGGAACAAATCAGAATCAACAACAGGAAGAACCACAGGAAGTCAACACCTGAGGCGCCCGCTGTTTGTGTGAAACAGGAAGTGAGACATACGTGTCAGGAAGTCTCGGATCTGTCTGATGAGACTCCTCAGCTCCTCGTTGCTCTGGTCCACTCTGTGTTTGGTCGTGTTGGTCTTCGTCAGGATGTCCTGAGCACTTAACTTCGCTTCGTCCGCCTTCAGCTTGGCCTCCGATACCTGAAGACAAACCACAGGTGAGAACATCCACCACCGTCCACCTGAACTGGACCCACAGAACCAGACCTGACAGAACCGATCACACTAACCATTTTTGAAAGTTTTTCCACTTCCCCCATGGCGCTGAGGATTTCCTGTTCCGACTCTCGAGCCTTCCTCCAGACACCGTCGGCTGTTGTCACCACGCCGTCACATCCTTCACCTCCACATGCGGCCCGACCCTCAGAGTCCACGCAGCCCAGACCGCCACAGGAAGAGGAGCACAAATCCTGACCCGCTGATGGACGGCCACAGGTCTGCAACAGAAGGTGAAGACAAGTTTCAGTAAAACACCTGAAGTTTTGAAATAAATGATCTTCACAGACATGGAGTCTGACAGGTGAAACAAACCTTGTGGCTGATCTCTGATAGGTCCAGAGTCTGTAGCTCTCCTGCCAGGTCATCCAATCTCTGAGCATGCTCAGTGTGTCTCCTCAGGAACTCCTCTCTGGTTTGGTTCAGTTTGTCCTCTGTGAGTTGCCGTAGAGTGCCAGACGTTTCCACGAGGCTGCCGGCGTCGATGGTGGAGGTGTTGGTTCGAGCCTCAGCTTCCTGAGACTGCAGGAAGTACTTTGTGACGCTGTCCGTCGCCCCTGGCAAAATACAGGAAGAAGGAAGGAGCTGTTGTTGTTGTTCTGTTGTCTGGTCTTTTACCCTCCCTCCCCCTCCCTCTGACCTTTGACCCCCTCCCTTCACCTCTGATGTCAGAGTTCTTGATGAACTCGACCTGATCCAGCA